GTCAAAAGAAACAGATTAATTACAGTGAATCAGCAAAAAATTGGCAAAGCAGCATCTGAGTATTCCTTGCCAAAGAAAACTATGCAATCCTCATAGTAAGTTGGCAGACGAATTGAAGACATATACACACCCACACACAATCCATGATTCAAAGAAACTCCCTCCCTTTCCTACCTCCTAATTATAGCATGGGGGGGGGGGTAGCTTTTCCCCCCCAGCATGTATCAACAAACTTAGTCAAAGTTAACATTCTGAACACTGAAAATGAAATGACCAAATGAGTTAAGCCTTGCATAGGTAAATTAATACTTTTAAACATTTCTAAATTTATTTATTTATTTTTATGTTCACATTACCATTGGCACTGACCATCTAACAATCTCAATCAAAATACTATACATTTGAAAAAACATTCAAAATATTTTTTAAAAAACCCAAAAGATGGAAGACAAGAAGAGGGAAAGAAAGATTAGAAGAGGAAAAAAAATACAAAACAAAGGCTTCAAATTCCACTCCTGTAATGAATAAAACCTAAATTTGAAAAAGATATGTATTACTAGAATGACTAATTTTCATAACCACAGGCTTTTATATCTTGTGTTTCTTATGGTTCAAAAAGTCCAAAAGCAGTTTTTAATCTCAAAAGGGTTTCACTGAGTTTTTCCTTTAGAAGCCACATAAATTTGGGGTTTTAGGCCAGTTTTGCAACCTTAACTCTCCATTCTTCTGTTGTGAATATATCTTTTTGGGATTATATTTTTGAGCACTCCACAGAGACATTGACCCTGCTGATTGGCGGATGCTGAAAAAAAAGTAAGTGTTCTGAATCAGCATTTGCTTATGCAAGTAAAATGGGATGCAGTTTGCCCTACCTTGGTCCAATGCAGGTAAATATGCAATATACATATTTACCTGCATTGGATGCAATTTGACCTCACCAAGAGCCATTCAAGCTACAGAATTAAACTGCTATTATTCAATTTGAACTGTAAATAGCAATTGAGTTAGAGGCAGAAAACATTATGGTGTCATCAAATTCCAGAGGACAGGCAATGGCAATTAAAGTGAGATATAAGTGCTATGGAGTGAATGGGCCCAAAGCAGAAAGCAACAAGATTTCAGAGAATAACTGTTGACGGGAGACTTTGTGAGGTGAAGTTATGAAAGAATCAGGTTCTGGGATAACCAAATGATGAAGCTTAAATGATCAAGCTTTAAGCAAGTGTAAATGGGTGCTTGTTGTTCAGCCTGCCCCAGAATAATTACAGCTGCCTGAAATCATACCTCAGATATAGCAAATAACACATGACCACAGTTGCCTCCAGTAAACTACATCTCTCTTTTTCTCCCAAATGGGTGTAAACTGCCCTCCCTCCATAGGTCAAGCACAAGATCACAATTCATTGGAACTTGCCCCAATGTTTTCTGATTCTGGGAAATCCCAAGTGCAATCCAAACTGGCAGAACCAGTACCAACTGTTTTTTTTTCCTCCCCAAACATTGGCCTGCATGTGTTGCTTGCCTTTTTGATTTCTTGTGGTTTCTTTCATTTTCCGATGAACGGTATCTGGGTTGCACAGCACAGCTTGGTCTTGTGAGGTCTTTCCCTCTCTCTATCACTTTGAAATCTCTTATTAGTCACCTTTCAGGAGGAGAGATTCATCTTCGTTCTTGTGGGAAACAAGATTGAAAGGTGCTTAAATTTTGACATGACACATTGGAACAGGGATGGGGAAGCTGTGCTCCTTGAAGTATTATTGTGCTCCAGCTTTCACAAACTCTACCTGGCATGGCTACTGGCGCACTGTTGCTGAGACAGGTTTATATGCATCCTTCACATTCTACCATGAGTTTCTACCCTTCTATTGTCCCTCATGGTCTTTTTCAGATCGTAACCTCTATTGGGGTGGTGCAGATCTTTGACTTGAGCTGTTAAAATCTGTAAAGCACCAGGTACATTTCAACTTGAGAACCAGCAAGATATCATGGATTGCATGATGGATTAAGACCTTGGAATATAGGGTTCAGATCCCTATTTAGCCATGGAAACCCAGTAGATGAGCCTGGATGCAAATTTTAATATTATTTAGATGCATCACATATGCAAATAATATGAAAACTCAAAATCTGGGAAATAGCAACTACATTTCCTAGTAAATAATATAAGTTTAACTGAAAAATCCAATACATATTAAATCTAAGACTTAGGCATATTTACCTGGGAATAGTTATAAATGTCCTAGCCCACCAGATAGTACTCTGTTCTCTGCACTTCCAGTCCCCTGGCAAACCTGATCCTTTTTATAGCCTGATCACACACATCTTAGTATTTCTGGCTATTGGTTTTTTGTTGTGTATTGTCTGAGTGAGTTTTAAGGCTGCAGTTTTCATACACCTATGTTTTATTTAATTGTGTTTTATTAGATTGTTATTTTTTGCTATGTTTTATTTTAATCAGGTTTTTTTAAAACGGGTTGTTTTTGCTTTGATGTGCTTTGGTTTGATGTTCTGTGGACATTTTGTTCCACACATAAGCTGCCTGAGTCCCTTTGGGAGATGATAACAGGGTATAAAAGTACAGTCATTGTAGTAGTAGTCATAATAATAATAATAATAATAATAATAATAATAATACAGTATAGATGCCCCCCCCCCCCCGCCCCCAGCCTCCTCAATGGCACCACTACTCCTGCTGAACTTCCAGGGCTACCTTATCAGAATGAATGCTGTCATTCCAAAATTCAGAGCTGAGTCAGAAATGAAACAAACAGCAGACATGTCCAGTAGCCAATTGGCAGGCACTCTACAGTCACGTGTGTCCAATTTCTGCACTTGTGGTTAGACTAGCACACTGGGATTGCGGGGGAGAGAGGCAGGAGTCAAGTTTGTATTTGGCCAGAAAGGACTGTCGTTATCTGACTGTTGTTGCTGAATTAAAAGAAGGCACCATATGTGCAGGCCTCAGCCTTGTGAAAGAAGGGCTGGATGAGGAGTAATGTAAAAACAAAGCAACACACAGCTATGACAATGTCATCACTCTCCTTCAGCTCAAAAAAAGGGAGACATTCTTAGAATAAAGAAATGTGTTTTTCTCACACACACACACATATATATGAAAAACACTTTTCTTTATTCTAAGAAAAGATAGCATTACAGATGTTATTTGGAGAGGAGGAATACTGTATATAAGTTAGCATCCTCCAGTCAGAGAAGAACAGGTCAATTTTAATGGCTGGTATGGATAGGAAGATTTATTTTGTGTGCATGTTTGTATGAATATTATTATTATTATTAATAATAATAATAATAATATAATGCAGATGGAAAAGCTTCCACAATATGAGGATTTAAATATTGAAATGCAAAGACTACAGTCAAGGTGGTCCCACTGGTGATCGGCACACTGGGTGCAATGCCTAAAGACCTTGGCCTGCACTTAAAAACAATCAGCACTGATAAACTTATCATCAGTCAGTTACGCATTATTTGCCGATACCTCATACAGTCCTAAACACTTAGGAAGAGTCCGATATATCACACAATCCTAGACCCTTGGGAAGTGTTCTATGTGTGATCAAATACAAAAGATAGCACACCAATCTTGTTTGCTGTGTACTACTTTTGTTGTGCATCAAATAACAGTAATAATAATAATAATAATAATAATAATAATAATAATAATAATGTATTTCTTAATTTATTGCCTGTCTCTTCTTGTTACTCTAGGTGGGGCACAACACAATCAAACACATCTATAAAATCACATATTAAGACATACTTAAAATACATATATTAAAACATGAGACAAAAGTTCAAACTTCATAAATGTAGAATATGACTGAAAGAGACAGTGTCTTGCAAATTAAGTATCAACTGTGATATTTAAGATGAGGAACAAAAAAATGTTTTTGGCAGCAGTGACCTTTGCTATTGCTTTTCTTACTCTCTCAAACACAGTGGATAGTACAGTAAATTCAAAAAGACTTGTCCTTCCTGGATCTCTGGGGAACAAAGCCTTACAATAAACAGATCCAAGACAAGAAAGAAATGGAAGATGTCTAGCTTCTCTGGAGGGGAAAGGGAAGAGGGGCTGGTTGAGGGGGAAAGAGAAGCCTCCCAGTGATCAAGCCAAGGCCTGCCTACAGGCTGGTTGCAATAGTATGAAAGGGGTGAAGGAGGAGCAGCCAAGAAGGAAGGGCCTGCTCCCCATGAAGGAAGAAAAAGTCCCAAGAGTGGGGTGAAGGCCTTTAGAGGCCCCTATGCACTGAAAAGGTTTCAGGACCTCCATGCATACCTAATTCAAAATATAAACAACACTCAGTTGGAAACAAAACTGACAGTAAGATGGGAGATCCTCTTCATTGGGCATCCTTTTACTTTCTCTTTCTGGGAAAAGCTTTCTCCTGCTCCTTCTTGTCTTGTGGGGCCTGGTTGGGTTGGACAGTTCGCACAATCAAGAGATCCTTTCCAAGGAAAACTCCCCTGGTGCCGCTTCCTTCCCTGGAGGCCCAAAGGAGGGTCGCCTTGAGCTCCATCCAGGGTGAGCCCGGTCTTTGGCCAAGAAAAGGCGACTAGGCACGCTCGCCTGCGTCTACACAGTGAATGCTGCCTGACCCTACTTCAGCTGTCATGGTGGCTCAATGCTATGCATGCAATATTAGGACTTGCAATGGGGTGGTACACTTGCTGGCCTTGGCGGAGAAAGCGGAAGACCTTGTGGGCCTGCAATGTCCCTGAATCCACGGCCAGGAAGGGAGCCCTGAGAGTCCAGCTGGGGTCAGCCTAGCTGCGCTTGGGAGGGACTCGCCCTGGCTGAGCTTGGCTTCTGTTTCTTTTCCCCATGTGTGATGCCGGCAGGGAAATACATCCTCATCCAACTGGTTTCACGCCCTTTTTCGGACACAGCGGCAGGTATCACTTTCGCTCCGTGTTGTTTCTCTTCCTCGCCGACCCGGAACTGAGGCGGAATGAAGGGAGCCCGCTTCTCCCCGTCCCGCTTCAGATGCGCGTCATCCCCAAAAGAGAGAGGCCAGAGATGCCACCCGGAGCCAAGGAGGAGCGGGAGGGTCCCACGGCGCACAGGACGAGCTTGAAGGGTCTTTTGCGGAGCCACCCCCAATCCTTCTCCCCAGAAGCCTCCTCCTCCTCTTTCTTCGGGGACTCAAGGGGAGCACCCCAGGCGGAGAGACGATGGGCATCAAGGAACAGGCGGTGATAGTATGATAGCTGGGTCCGGAAGCGCCGAGAGGTACGCACATTCCGCAAGGGCGTTTGTGAATAAGGGAAGGGGGGGGGCACAGTGAAGGCGGGAATATACTTCAATTTGGTGGAAGGATAGAAGGGAGGAGGTTAGGATAAAGTAGCCAGGATTTTGATTGGGGGGGGGAGCTGAGTTTGATGGGAGGGGGCTGAGTCTGAGTGAAAGAGGGTCTACCCTAGCAAACCTTTTGTATCGTTACCCCAATACCCCCAATGCATATGGGATATATTGTGCATGGTGATCAGATCATGATATGAATAAACATAACAGTTTAAAATAAATAATGTACCAGTAAGGCCTTCTCGTGGACCACCATGAGAATTTGGGGGGGGGGGAGTGAAGCCCCTCAAGCCCCCCCCCCCCCGCTACATGCCGGGGTTAGGATTAAGGGTCAGGTTTAGAGTTAGGGTAAGGTTTAGGGCAGGCCTGAGCAAACATGGGCCCTCCAGATGTTTGGACTTTAACTCCCACAATTCCTGGCCTCAGGCCCTTTCCTTTTCCCCCTCAGCCGCTTAAGCCGTTGAGGGGGAAAAGGAAAGGGCCTGAGGCCAGGAATTGTGGGAGTTGAAGTCCAAAACACCTGGAGGGCCCAAGTTTGCCCAGGCCTGCCCTAAACGAATACACAGACTTTGCCCTTCCCACCCCAGCGGTCCATAGATAGAAAGCGGCACCCCCTTGAACCGCCGAGGTCCCGTGCTGCCCAATCAGGGGAGCGGTCGTTTGGCGAAGTCTTCGCCCGCCTCTGTTTTCAAGAGTGACAACTCCCAGCAGGATTCCTTAGCACTGAGCCTTGGCAGGTCAAGCCGCTTTCGTCTGACAGCGTCGAGATGCGCCGCAGAAAGGCCCCGCCCCAAAAGGCGAAAGCAGGCGGAGGGAGGCAGGATGCGACCTGTCTGTTGGGAGCGCGGCTCCCCGCTAGGCCCTCCTCGCGAGACTGATTGGTTCGATCAGAGCGCTCCCTATTGGCTGGTCGGCCCACTGTGATAAACTGTGAGTGGTGTGTGGCGTTTATTTGTTGTTTAAGGACATCCCCTTGGCATGGCTGCAAAGTGACAGAAGGAAGGCGGGAAAGGAGGGAGGGAGGGAGGAATGGAAGGATTTCACTGAAACCCGACGGCAGTCTCTCTCCCCCCCCCCCCCCCCCCCCTGCCGCCCTCCCTGCCTCCCGCGATCGGCTGCAAGGTGATTTGGAGAGAGGGGAGGGGAGGGGAGGGGGAAGGAGAGGTTTGGCTTCCTACCCTTCGGGGAGGCGCGCTTGCAAGGTGTCGCTTTGCCCATTCCTTAGGCGCCTCCTCCCGCCTCTCTCCCTCCTCACCGGATGCTCTCCTGCACACACAACATCCCCCTCTCGCCTACGTGCGCCCCTCCTCCTCCTCCTCCTCCTCCTCCTCCGCTTCTCGCGACTTTGGAGGCGCGTGTTGTGGGACGTGCCTGGCCTCGACATGAGGCCCCGGATCTACTGCACTCTCCGCAGCGCGAGGCCCGGGAGAATTCTACCCAGCCACCTGAAGCCCATCCTGCTCCAGATCATCCGGAGAGTCCTGCAGAGGAAGCCACTGCCCCACTCCCTGCGCCTCGTCCTCAAGAAGCCGCTCCCCCCCCCCCCTCAGAAAGCGGTAAGGAGGGGGCGAAGGAGACTCCGGGGCGGCAGCAGCAGCAGAAGGGGCCGCGATTGGCATCCCTCCTTCCCTCCCTCCCTCCTCTCTTCCTTCTTTCCTTCCCGAGGAATTCAGGAACCACACCTTTGCATCTTCGCAATGTCTTCCCTCTCCTTCAGCCAGGGACTGGCCGCTTCGAGTTCGTGGCTCTTCTTGCTTGCTTGATTACTTAGCTTTCTTTCTTTCTTTCTTTCTTTCTTTCTTTCTTTCTTTCTTTCTTTCTTTTTTTCTTTCTTTTTTTTCTTTTTAATCTCTTCCCTCCTCCCTCCCTCTTTCTTTCTTTCTTTCTTTCTTTCTTTCTTTCTTTCTTTCTTTCATGCGCCGAGAAAAACAGGAACTGCCCTCCTTTGTGGCGTCATTTTTTTCAGCGCTTCTCCAGCCCCGATTTGGCGGCTTCAAGCTCATGGCGACTGTCTATTTCTGGTCCCTTCTACACTGCCATTGAAAATCCAGATTATCTGTTTTGATAATCTGGATTATATGACAGTATTGAAAGGGACTCTTTCCTTGTCTCTCTTTCTTTCCTTCTTTCTGCTTTCCTGTCTATCGTCTATTTCTTCGATCTCCTCCAGGCCTGCTTTAAGTTCATGGCGTCTTGCTTGCTTTCCTTCCTTCCTTCCTTCCTTCCTTCCTTCCTTCCTTCCTTCCATTCATTCTTTCATCCTTCCTTCCGTCTTTTCTTCCTTTCTCCCTTCCTTTCTCCCTTTCTTTCTACCAACTATTCTTCGATCTCCTCCAGCCCTGCTTCAAGTTCATGGCGTCTGTCTTTCTTTCTTTCTTTCTTTCTTTCTTTCTTTCTTTCTTTCTTTCTTTCTTTCTTTCTTTCTTTCTTTCCTTCTTCCTTCCTTCCTTCCTTCCTTCCTTCCTTCCTTCCTTCCTTCCTTCCTTCCTTCCTTCCTTTCTTTTCTTTCTTTCTTTCTGCCTTTCTTCCTGCCATCTATTTATTCGATCTCCTCCAACCCTGCTTCAAGTTCATGGCGCCTGTTTCCTTCCTTCCTTTTCCTCCTTCCTTCCTCCTTCCTTCCTTCCTTCCTTCCTTCCTCCTGCCCTCCCTTCCTCCCTTCCTCTCTTTCTCCCATTCTCCCTTTCTTTCTGCCTTCCTTTCTATCGTCTGTGTCTTTGCTCTCCTTTCTTGTCGCGTCCATTTATTTCCTTCTCTTTGGGGCGCCTTTCCATTTTGACAGTGGTTCCTTCGACACGGCCATATCATCGAGTTCAAAGCAGAGAATCTGGATTGTCTAAGGCAGTTGTCGTACTCTTCTGTTTTCTTATCTTGAGTGCATCAGAAGGAACCATAGGCACAAAGCAGACCTCAATTCAGAGACAACTTGATTTCAACCACATACTGAAAGCTAACACTAATTTCTAGAAGCTCTGACTTAATATCTGTCAGTCTGAGCCACGAGTTGACAGGCCTTTGATCTTTGATATTGCTGTTTTTAAATTGTTTTACATTGCTTTTAAATTGTGTTAGATTTTAGCCTGTTCTTATAAGTTTGAATAATAAATAAATAAATTTAGACAAGGATTGAATGCAAATCAGGGGCCTTTTTTTGTCTTGTGTGGCTTGTGAGGCCTTCAAATTCTCACCTCCTGGCTCGTTTTTGCGATTCCTAGACAGTTCGGGCCTTTCCGTGGGTACATCTACACTGCAGTTTGACACCACTTTAACTGCTCGGTGCCATGGATCCTGGGATTTGACATTTGCCAAGCACTCTCTGTTAAGGAAAGCGCTAGGAAAACTAAAACTGCCCAGATTTCATAGCACTGAGCCATTGGAGTTGAAGTGGTGTCGAACTGTATTAATTCTGCAGTGTAGATGCAACAAAATTCCCGAGACTTTCCCCAGACTTTTTCTCAATTGCATATGGAAGAGAGGCAAGTAAATTATTATTATTATTATTATTATTATTATTATTATTATTATTATTACCATTATTACTATTATTATTATTATTACCATTATTATTAGTATTATCTAAATGTGGGCATGTGTGATTTAGGGTTTTCAGAAAATAATTCTGTAGAAAATGGAGTCAGTGAAACTGGTTCATGGGCTCTTACTGGGAAATCGAAAACCTCTTCAGTTACAAACTCCATTTCCCCGAGAAATCGCCGTTTATTCCCACCACTACCATTATTTTTCCTGCTGACTTTCACTTTAGAGAAACCATTCTTTTTTTAAAAAACAACAACAACAAAACAACGCACACACTCCTAAATAATAAACAGAATGTTATGAAATCAAATTAACAGGATTGATTGTACTCATTGATCTTGAACACTCTCGCATTTACGACAGGCTTTTTTTGCTCTTTACCTGGGTTTAGGGAGTCATTTATTGGAAAAGTTGTATTTTGGGGGGAATTTCGAATTAGATTATTTTGGAGTGAAAAGAGAAAGTTGCCATATAATTGAATTAGGAGTGGAAACGTAAATAGAGTGCATTGGGAAAGATATAAATCAGTCAATCGGGTGTTCGGATAGAGAGGCTTTCAATGTATTGTCGAAGTTTTCATGGCCGGAATCACTGGGCTGTAGGGTCATGTTCCAGAAGCATTCTCTCCTGGCAGGCATCCTCAAAGGTAGTGAGGTTGTTTTCTTTACAAAGGGAGGATGTTGACAAGCTGGAATGTGTCCATAGGAGGGCGACTAAAATGATCTACTGTAGGAGAACAAACCCTATGAGGAGCGGCTTAAAAATCTGGGCATGTTTAGCCTGCAGAAGAGAAGGCTGAGAGGAGACATGATGAGGGCCATGTATAAATATGTGAGGGGACGTCATAGGGAGCAAGCCTATTTTCTGGCTTCAAACTACAAGAAAGGAAATTTCACCTGAACATGAGGAAGAACTTTCTGACAACCTCTGAAGATGCTTGCCATAGATGCAGGCGAAATGTCAGGAGAGAATGCTTTTAGAACATGGCCATATAGCCGAAAAACCTACAACAACCCAGCCTCTTGACTGTGAGAGCTGTTCAGCAATGGGGAGGGTCAATGGTCGACTACAGTCTTCAACTACAATGAAGAAAGTCTCTCTGGGTTGTTTTGAGTTTTCCGGGCTGTATGGGCATGTTCCAGAAGCATTCTCTCCTGACGTTTCGCCTGCATCTATGGGAAGCATCCTCAGAGATTGTGAGTCTCTTGGAAACTAGGGAAACAGATCCATTTATATAGTGCTATTTCGCTTGTTTCTGGAAAGACAAGGAAGGAGGGTGGTGCACTTTCAGGAGGAGCAGGAGAAGGATAAAACATCAACACAAACGTAAAGAAAGAAGAGTAAAACATCTTCAGTGGTTCTTAATCCCAGCTAGGACTGTATAGAAGGGT